AGATCCGCCGCAGTCGTCTGCCCCTTTCTGCCTCAAGCCTGCCGCTGCACTATCCGAGTCGGGGCTGGGGGCCCATTTTTTCACTTTTTTCCGAGGCCTTGTAGGAGTGCGGTCGGGCTCGCCGCTTGCTATTTCCCTGACCAAGGTCGGGTCGTCGGTCGTCAGCGTCGGGCCCTTAGTCTCCTGAGTTCGCCGGTCGTCGGTGAATATGGGTTCATGCTCCTCTGTTTTCATGTCCAATGGTGTTGCTCGCCGCGCTTTTGGACATGTTTCGAGAGCCCTCTGGCGTGGGTCGTTGGTGGCTTTTCCGGAGTCTCCCCTCTTCCCCAGCGTGGATAACTTTTCGGAGTCCAGATCTGAATCAAGAGCAGAATTTTCATCAGATCCATCTAGGAGGAATGAGTGACCGCAGTTTTCGAGCTTGAGGTTCAAATTTGTGGCTCTGTTGGATCTCTATGCTATTAGAAGTGACTCGTGTGCAGTCTCGAGTGGCCAAACGTTGGGTCTATTACGTGTAGGGGAGGTCTTAGTTTATTTGTATATTAGGTGTACGGTTTTATTTGTTTTTCGTGTGTTAGTCCAGCTTGTCTGGTTTATCTCCTTTATGGAGTTTAGTTTCCCTTTGTGGAATTTCGTTTTGGGTTGCGGTTGCCTCCTTGTTGGAGTTGTACCTCTTGAATTCCTCCGGATGTTCAAGAGGGTAAGTCCAGTTATCTGGTTCTTTGGTGTCAGTTGACATCGCCTATGTACTCTTTTTGAGTTTTCTAGCAATATATTTGTTTGCCGTTTGAAAAAATTATTTTGTTGTTCTTTCACATGGGTCCCCAACTTACTTCAAACTCCGAATCTTGGCACACGTTTTTTAAGGGCACCTACATATGATATACTAAACTCCCAAATTGTAAATGGTGGCATTAGCATTAGGGGGATCCCTCTATCATACTTTTGTAATATAAATGTATATTTATGTCGTAAAATTTCATACATTATTGTTTAAAATATGACATTTCAGTTTGCTAAAATTTCATTGGATTATTGTTTCCTTTTTCGATTCTTGCTATCCACACGAGTTGTGTTAATTATAAGTTGTTTTCATTTCTCTTAAAATAAAGCAAGTTGAAAGTAAAATTTAATTTTATAAAAAAAATACTATTAATTTTATTTTATTTTTTTCCCGAACAAAATTACTAATACAATTAAGAAATAAAAAGGCAATCATTGTTATATAGTTCTAACATTAGTGTTCATATACTTGGCCTATATCTATAATCATTGTTATTTTTTCAATTTTAATTATTATATATTATATCTCATCTTCACTCATAATTTCAAATATAATTTATTTTTTTAACGACTTACTTTGTTCACTTCTTCGTTTTTACTGGACGGGATAATTTTTTTTTTTTATTTTTTTATACCTAGTGACAACCTTAAACATCATAGTCCGGGTCCGAGTAA